TTGGAGAGTAGTGGCTTCCTCCTTGCTATCCTCCCATGCACACTGTTCTTGTTCAGTGTTTGCCTGATGGTGGACTCATTAATACTGACATTAGCCAGTGCGAGAGAGGCCTGCAGATCCTTAGACGTTACCCTGGGGTTCTTTGTGATCTCCCGGAATATTATACGCCTTGCTCTTGGAGTGATCTTTGTTGGACGACCACTCCTGGGGAGAGTAACAATAGTGTTGAATTTTCTCAGTTTGTACACTGTCTGACAGCGGGCTTCACAAATCCAAAGTCTTTAGAAATCATTTTGTAACCTTTTCTATCCTGATGAGCATCGACAACTCTTTTTCTGAGGTCCTCACAAGTCTGCTTTGATCGAGGGATGGCATGCGTTCACGAACCTGCGTGGTGAAGACCAGACTTTGGTAGTGAAGACTCAGGTTTATGTTTTTAAATAGGGCAGGGCCACCCAAACTCACACCTGATTGTCATCCCATTGATTGACACTCCTGACTAATTATCCCCTTTAACTGAACTGATAATCCTAGAGCTTCACCTACTTTTTCCGACAAAGACATATAGTGTTGGATCATTTTGGTCAATAAATGAATGAAAACGTATATCCTTTTGTGTGTTATTTGTTTTATTGGGTTCTCTTTATCCATCTTTATGACAGATGAAGATCTGATCACATTTTAGGTCAAATTTATGCAGAAATTCAGAAAATTCTGAAGGGTTCACAAACTTACTAGCACCGCTGTAAAGAGTGCTGTGAAGAGTAATTGTAAAGCAGGGGTGGAATGAGTCAAACCTGTAGGCAGGATCAAGCATTATTGACCAGGGACAGTGTGAGGGGGCACAAGGTAACGCCCAGTGTGAGGAGCGATGGCGTCGAGACTAGCTACCGATTACCGAGACAACTGGGGATAGCGTCCGATTGAGCGTTTAGCAAAAGGGGACAGGAATGGCGAAGCTCTTCGCTTTTTGCTGCACTTCATTTGTCCCGAAATGTTCTTGTTTTTTTCCCTCCCTTTGTGCCTCATGACTTAAGCGAAGGGAAAGTAAATGTTGAGGGGGTGGAGGGTGGGCGTGTTTTGAGTGCGTTACCCCTCGTGTCTTGAGAGGTCAGTGATGGCTGGAAGCCGGGTGGGGACACGCGCGGATCCAGCCGCTGCTCCAGCGTAGACGGCTTGGAGACGCTCCTATGGCACCATTGCATCTTGCGTGGCGTGGAAATCTCGACCCCGCCTTGCAGTGGCGGACGCAGGCGCGACCTAGCGTGCATCACTGTGGCAGTGTGCGTTACCATGCCATGCGGCTGACTTTTAGTCCTGTCGCGATGGTAGCTGAGCCGGTGTTGGGGTCACCTGACCTCTGAGCCCTTCCCTATGGGAGAGGAAAGCTGTGGTCAGCAGGGGGGGGGGCAGGAGGAGCCCACAGCACTTTGCAAGAAAACAAAAGGTATCCTCAGGTGTTTGCACCTGGTGTCATCCTGTTTGCCTTGATGCCCACAATGCCAAGGCAGCCCCAGGTTTACTGAAGATGCCACCTGATGCAGGGTCCAAGTGCAGGAGCTGTTGTACAGCTATGCTGTAAAGGCTTAGTCTTCATCCTATTTCCTGGCTCTGTGTAAGAGGTGGCAGTAGGAACAGCAGTGTTATATGATAAAGCACCAGTGTCGGCTGACATCCATGGGGATGCTCTGTGCACACTGGGGAGACCGAATGCTGACACAACGCCTCTGTGCTTTCCATGGGAATGCTTGTTTGCGGAGACCGGGCTGCTTGGCTGTTTCGATTGAAAGGGGAGCTAGAGTCAGAATCCATGCTTAGCCTCTGAGTCACTGTGCCCTTTGCAGATACACCATGTGATCTCCCAGCGTGCTGGAGAACTAGCCTGAGCCAGCTGAAACCGATGTGGCTGAACTCTCCGGCAGCTAGCAGCCTTCAGTTTGCAGACGCTCAGACTCGACAGTTTTTCAAACCGTAGTCCCTGCCTTGTTTTACAGTGCTTCAGATCAACATTTCAATACCCTAGTAAGCATTCCTGAGACGCATGGAGCACCCTTAACTCTCCAATCCCCTGTGCTCATGCACAACCTTACAGTGTTTGAAACTGCAGATTGCATCTCGGTGATCATATGAAAGCCGGAGTGCCGTTACAGAGTGTACTGAGCCTCGCTTTGTTCAGTGTAAACTGATTTAATGGCATGACCTCCTGTAATTCTTCCAGAACGGAATATTTTCTTTATTGATAATTTCCCAAAACTGCCAGCTGTCATTGGTTTAATCTTAAACGAGCACGTTCTTAATTTGTACAGCAGTCTGTTTGTGGCATAATATTTGACTCTAAAGGACAGGCCTTATAAAAAAAAAAAGTAACAAACCTTATGAGCAAGAGGAAGCCTATTTGCATGTCTGGTCACCAAGTAGCTTAATTTTCCTGGTGTTCTATCCTTGTCTAAGACATTCCCGCAAAACGATCTTCAACCCCAGCCTTGTTAACAGCGTTTCCTACTTCCACACTGAGCTGACATCAGTTCTGAAGTCTCTGTTCATTGCTTGACAACAGATTTTCATAGCGGTTTGTTGTTTTCCATTACCGTGGTGCTGTATATTGGCTGTATGATTGTACGTTTACTGTTCAATTAGCGTGCCTTGAATTTACACATTTTTGGTTGAACACACCTCAAGTATCTGTACCATTTCTTAATTTAGGACACTGCGAGTTCTTACACTTTATAATAGTTTATATTGTATGTCTATCTATAATATATAATTATAATTAACATTATATAGATGGTGTACGCTGTGAATAGCATTGGTAGGGTGTCACAACCTTCTGGATGATCTTGGTCTGTGTTGTTCCAGCTAACATTCACCTCCTGTCCTTACACGCTTGCTCAATGAGCTTCATTATTTTTGATAACGATCAAAATCCCGGAACGTAATTCACTGCCAAAAATTTGGGAAGTCCAGCCAATTTAATGTCTGTTTTTTTTAACACCTTTTCTTTAACCATTTTGAGTCTGGCACGTTTAAAATTCAATGAATAAAGCTATGAAAGAGTACAGTTCAGTTGGTTTAATAATAAACTGATTAGTAACATCGGATGAGGCAGGTGGGGGCTGTCCCTGGCTTGTGTAAACCCACCTTGACCTCGAGTGTGGCGCTCGGCTCCGGCCTCGCTCTGCCTCGTCTGTGTATCTTCTCTCGTGGGTGGGCCTTGTCCTTTGAGTCTCGGCTGAAAAGCGTTTTAGTGATGTGAAAAGAGCTGCAGCTCTGAGGAAGCGCCGCAGAGTTACTCTGCAAGAGGATAGTTTTAGTATTAAAGAACTGCATAGTGTAATTCTGCGTAATTGCAGCACTAACCATAACTCCCAACAGTTGTAAGTGCGAACGTGCAGTGTAAGAGTGCGTTCCTAAATCAAGAACTGCCAGTATTTTTGGTAGTATGAGGTGATTAGCAGGAGAAAAAAAGCCTTACAACCCGGAGGTTTTTGAAAAGAATGCTTAAAAGGCGGTTGCATAATTTTATTGAAAAACAAATGTTGTCATTTTCAACTAGCTTTTGAAATTGTTGGCTTTTATGCTACATTCTGTGCCCAAATGGTGGTCGCGAAGAGAAAGTTGTGTTCTTTCTCAAGAGGATAAATCCAGACATCTGCAGTCTTGGCATTTGAAGGCTCAAAGGATGCTGTGTGTTGTGAAATCACTTTTTCTTGAGCAGGTTCTCTGAATATTTTGCCACCACATACTCAGATCATGTTTTTGCATACCTTTGTAAATGTGGCAAAGCAGAGGACATAGTTCACTGATACTTGGTGAGACATGCAGTAGATGTTCCTGGATTGTGTCCAAGAGCAGTTCCAGCTCTGCGTTCTCTGTATTTGTCAGTCTGCTATCTTTTTACAATAGTGGGATTGGTATCCCTTGTGTGTGGTTTTCCTGAATACAGTCTACTGTGACTCCATTGACTTTGCAGTCACAGCCCATACAAGATAGGCAGGCTGATGTAATTGACAGCAATGCGGAGAATAAACTGATGCGCTTCAGCAAAAGGACACGGGTCAGTTGTGATCCTTTCGGGTTTCATTACGTTGGCTCCTTCGGTTATTAGATGGGTAAAATCAGAGGATGAAAAAGAAGATCCCAGGAAAATCAGTTTGTTTTCAGTTGTTTTTATGAATGTGTTCGTGGTTCTTATTAAAATCCCTAAGGCTGCTGTTGTCAGATTTGTGCTTCCCCTTGATGGAGACAGCAGTGCTGTATACTCTATATGAGTCGAGGTGGAGATCTGACTGGCCACGGGGTGTAGCGAGTGTGATGTGTACTTGATTAGTCCGCAGACGCAAGCATTCAGTGCAAGATGCTTAACAATACACGGGTATTATAGGCTACCCTTAAATCTACACACCTGGAACAATTATGTTTTGACCTCTGAAGGTGATTTGCTCAGATAGATACATAAGAGATCATTTGAAACAAAAGCACCAACGCTGTACCTCTCAAGGAGCACTGCTGGCCATTCGTGACTTAATTGAGCTTGTTCAATTTCTCAGTTGATCAAAACGCATTCGCCCATAAGCACTCCTGTGCTTCATTTGTGCGCATTGAGGTAATGAATAAGAATTTCACATTTCAAGTAGGGTACATTACAGATGTTTTCTTTATTATGTTCATTTCCAGGGATGACGGGAATGTAAAAACATCATGGCCTGAGGTTGTTTAGAAAAATGTGTGGAACGTGGAAACGTATTCTATAACTGGAACCACTGTTTTAAGTTTTGCTTATTTTTTAAAGAAACTTAAAAGTTCAGAAGCATGAGTTGGGAGGAAGTAACATTTGAATGCATTTTATACTGTCAACTTCCACGAGTCAGGTTGTGCAGGGTTTTTTTTTTTTCGGAAACCTAAAACCTGAAGACCTGATCTTTTCTCTAAGATGTGACCTTCGAATATTGGAAATATGCCTGTGTTCAACTCACGCGGCAATTCTTCATTTGTCTTTGCAGGCTCTCTTGGACAAGTTCCTGATTCCCAACGCTTCCCATGCAGAAAGCAAAGTCTTCTACTTGAAAATGAAAGGAGATTACTATCGCTACTTAGCTGAGGTGGCTGTTGGAGAAGAGAAAAACAGTAAGAGCTCTGATCACGTGCATCTGACGCCTGGCCTGGGGAGGCTATGTGGGCAGGGAGGGGGGCAGGGAGATTTCTAATGATATTTCTGGGAATGCAGCAATTTTATTAAGAGATAATTTTGCAGAACAGCTATTACAGCAAGGAATAATACAGTAATGAGAAATGCATTAATTTTCAACGTGTTAGTTTAATGTTTGCTGTTGTCCCTGATAGTGTAATCCAGTTTAGCCAGTATTGATGAACCCAGTATTTCCAGATGTTTAGTCACCCCATGAAGGCTGTGTCCAGCTGTTGGATCCCTCGCTGTGAGAGCCTCCTGTCTAGACATAAATACATAAATGGTCATCGAATAAGTCCTGTTGAAGGAGGTTTAACAAACCAGATCATTGTTTTATGTGTGCCCGAGAGAAGAATAGATCAGAATGTGCAACAGAAAGACTTTGGCTCTGTGAGCCTGTTTTGTTCAAACAAAAAATGGGTTAAAGGAGAGCCGCATCAGTGCAGCGCCCTGAAGCAATCTGACGGTACAGCCTGCAATCCTATGGCCCCTGCTGCTTGGCAGCTCATACGTTTGGCACATGTTCCTTTGCCCCTTTGGTTATAAAATATCCAGCACTTAGATTTTGTCAGTACTTGGGCTGGGGGGAGGATGAGGAAGAGGTTCCAGATTTGTAAGTGTGAACAAAAAAGGATGAAGGGGGGGAATCTGCTCGAATTTGGGGAAAAAAATCAGCCTTATTTTAAAAGGGGCTGTATTATAGTACTATATTCTTCTTTCACGCACATGGGTCGGGAAGTCATTCTACACCAGAAAGTGCTGCATTTTTCTCGAGAAGAGGGAATGTTAGGATTCGCAGCTGTGAATCATGTGCCACGAATACCCCCGCCCCCCCCCCCCCCCAGAAGAATCCGACCAAGCAGCAGAACAACTCAACCTCTCCCAGGAAACGAGGGATTGGGACAAGCTGGAACGCGCCAAGTGTGAAAGCAAGGGACGCTATAAGAAACTTAACTCTTGGTCTGATCCTTCTGAGGCTCGGCACGTCATACGTCATGGAGGATGGGCTCAATCACATTCCTTTAGGCTGGCGATTCATTGAAACTCCACCCGGCTTTCATCTGAGGCTCATTTATAGCTGGCTTTCCACTTGTCTTGCCTGCGGCAGGCTTTCTGTTGGGCCATTTGAACAGATATTTGTAGTGCATACTGTCGATTTTCCTAAAATCTGTATAGAGGTGCACTTAACTAACAGATTTTTCTCAATTGTGACTACAGGCTATGAGAATTGAGCAGTTTTTCTTTTTAGCCGAGGTAGCAGAAATGAATGTGATCATGTGCTTTGAAGGGACTTTGAAAGCCAATCTGACTGGGAGGCTCATTTTGTAATATTATTGTGACGTTTATCTGTGATAATCATGAGTGAGATTAATATTGTTGAATCTAATGGAGTTTTTATCCTAGTATAATGCATTGTAGAGTCTTTTTTTTTGTCCGTAGCTAGATCCAAAAGTGTCAGATTTCAGAGAATAATACTTTTCGTAACTTATGACGCATACGCATGTGTATTTTCCTAAAAACCGACGAGGTCCACTTCATCAAAATGAGATTTCGGGGTGATCCTTGTGAGGTACTGTGCGTATAGACTGCCGACGCATGGAAGACCAGTTTGAATAGCCAAGATCGCCCGTCCTCTTAATAAAACTCCTGTGGGGAAGGATGCAGTTTTACCCCCTTTATTCAAAATACAAAATACTTGTCCTTTTGTCTTGGAACTGACCTGTGAGCTTAGGTTTTGTCCGCAGCTCAGATGTGTTTTGAGTACAGTGTCCCGAAGAGGCCGTTTGTGACTTAGATCCATTAGGCTTGTCTTGACACAGAAGTAACCCAGTTCCCTGCTGTGAAGCCTTTCCAGGGCTTCCAGAGAGGAGGACTCCACTAGTAAAGGCGCTTACCTGAGTGTAGATTAAGCTCTGTGATCGCAGGCTTGAGACCAAGCAGGATTCACTAAGCGTGTAGTGGAAGTTCCCCCACACCTCCTCACTCTCCCCGTGTGCGGTCACGGGGTTTGTAGAGGACACGCTGGGCAAGGAAAAAATAAGCATTTGCTCTTCCAAATCTGCAGCGTGTAACAAAAATTGGCAGTTCGCAACTTTACAAAAAAAAAAAGCTTTCGTGATTTTCTGGGATTCCACTTAACCTGCTGAACTTCATCAAACCTTCTCGTTTTAGTCTCTCAGGAGACAAAGCACAAATTTCTTCGCAAGTGAAAGGTCATCTTGGAAATTAAAAGTACTTGTGGGGACCAACTTGGTTTTTACAGCAGGGGCTGCTGGCAGCAGTACAGCTGGAACACAGTTCAAGTGTTGCATCAATTTCACAGTTACTCTGGGGCGATTTATGGCTCATCCCATTAAAGTCTTCTCGTTTTGGATTGTTGGAAAACGTGCCATTTGCCACCATTTTCACCACTTAAGTTCAGTGGTGCCATTGTGCTTTGTGCTGTTCTGTGGTTAAGGGGATATTCTTCGGTGCAGACAATCCATCCCCAATTTAGATGAGGTTTCTTTAAAAAATCATAGCTGTTCATGCCCTTCCATTGTATGGAGACACAGGGAAGACCACCTAAATATCCATTAAGGAACTTTGAGATAGTTACACCATCACGCAAGCTCTCTGTAGGTAGTTGGACTGGGAGGATTGAACTCAGTGTGGCACACACAGCTAGAAGCTGGCGGGTTCGAAACCAGGGTGCAGTGTTGCTGCTGTCCCATGGAGTATAAGCTGCTTATATAAGACTGCTTCAGCAACATGCCCAGCTGAATAAACAGGTACAGAAGTAAGTCGCCTGAATACAAGCTAAATGAATAATAAACTTAAAATAGATAAACAGTTCCCTTTGTCTGGCTGCTGCAGACTACAATCGGACCATTGTGTTCTTCAAGAGGAGGAAGTGGGACGGAGATGTTCTTATCAGAGGAAATATTAAAAATGTATGTCCTAGCCTTTGAAGTTCGTGGGGGAAAGAAGCACCTTAAAGGTTGTAGGTGTACTTGAGTATCTTACTCACCAAAGCGTAGTAGTTTTAGACCAGGAGTCTTCGGACAGCTGAATCACTTTTCAAATCCCCACTGAATGCCTGTTCTGTAGTACTGGGATTTTAAGGACAGAGTTGTTCGAGCTGTGCAAAGAGATGATCACATTTTGCCTGGCGCTCTTTTCCCTATTTGTTACTCATCTCCAAAGTCCAGTCTGTTGTGTTTTAAACTGGTGCTGTTCAAGTTACCTTGTTACAGTTGGACTGTACAGTGCTCTTGGACAGGGTGTGCTCACCAGTCATGGATGGCATTTCAGGTTTTGAGTGTGGGTGAAAAGATCTCATCAACGATGCGGTCTGGATACAGCAGCCCCTCATTGTTTGCAGTCCTGAGGTGTGCTCATCACTCTTCGGAGGAAAGCTAGTGCACTTAAGAAGAGTTCACTGCTTTTACCTGCCTTAGTAACATATAAGCCCAGGCTTTTGTATCTAAGTCTCTCATTCCTCAAATCCCCCCCCAATGCCACAGCCTGGATTTGACTGCTGCTCATCAGAGAATGGCTGTCTTCCAGCAGTATTGAACAAATGCTGAATGTGCGTACACCCCAGAATCTGCTGCATCCTGCTGTGAATTTTCAGTTGTTTGATTTTGACAAGAACTTGACGTTCAGAAACAAGGGAAGGAATTTCGGCCCTTCGTGCTCTTTGTTGCTGCTTCCAGATTGGGAGTTATTCTCATTCCCATTGGAAACCACTTCAGCTACAACTTTCTGACGGAACAGCAGCAGAGTCTGAGTTAATAGTATGATTTCGCAGTTCTCAAGCTCCACCTAGCTGATATTTGGAGAAATATGTTGCCCCCACCCCCCTCCCCCATAAGAAATGACATTTTTGTTTCTTGTTTCAGAAACATTAATTCTGTTTTAAGTTATGTGGCAAAGTCAAAGGCGCTGGCTTGAGTCAAGTGAGCGCAGTAAGCAAATGGGAGGAAAAAACACCGTTTCTCTTCTCTCCACAGCAATAATTTCGAACTCGCAGCAGGCCTACCAGGCAGCTTTCGACATCAGCAAGAAAGACATGCAGCCCACACATCCCATTCGCCTGGGCCTGGCCCTCAACTTCTCCGTCTTCTACTACGAGATCCTCAACTCGCCCGAGCAAGCCTGCTCGCTGGCGAAAACGGTAAGGCCAGGGCACTGGGCGTGCGCAGCCTGGGGTTCAAGCAGTAGATGGCGCAGCTGAGCTCACATCGCCCTTTTCCCTCTTTTTTTTTTTTTCCCCCCCCAAGGCGTTTGATGAAGCGATCGCAGAGCTTGACACGCTGAACGAAGATTCCTACAAAGACAGCACATTAATCATGCAGCTACTGAGGGACAACTTGACCGTAAGTACAGGGCAGCGGCGGTAAGGTCCGGCGGGGTGGCTCGGAAGGAGTGTTTTGATCCATGGTTACTTGAAGTGTGCTATTGCTGACTTCAGGGGAGTTTTTAGTTCTCTCCTCCTCTTTCGGAGAGTGGGCTCTTTTAAAAGTCATTTCAGAGTGGGTCTTTGCCTTTTGCATCCACGTCGGACACCCGTGCTATTGAATTGGTGTCTTGTCCTTAGCATGAAATGCGTGCTGATTCTCTGTCAGCACTGTTGGTTTTGCCCAAAGATGTTTAGATCTTACAAGTAGAAATTCGAGCAGACGGCTTCCTTCCTTCCCCTCTGTCTTGCTCCAGAGCCTTTTCACTTTGCCGTCTCTCTGCACACAACTGTGATTCCCTGCTAACTGGGTCGTAACGGTGCGAGCTTGCTTTGAGAGTGACTGGTTGGCATGTGGACTCAGCGCGTCTCTCCCCCGCAGCTGTGGACCTCGGACAACCAGGGCGAAGAGGAGGCCGAGGACGGGAAGGACAACTGATGGCCGGCCCGGCTCCCGTCCGCTGTCATCCCTGTTTGTCGACGCTGAGACCGCCTCATCCAGCTGTCCCGTACCGTACGACTAGTCTCTGTTTCGGTTCTTTCACTCACGAGCTTTCTGTCACTTTCGTTTCTGGGAGGGTGAGCGGGCGGGGAGAAGGAGGTGGGGGTGGG